CCGAAGGGACCCAAGAAGACGAGTTCCGACAGCGACTCTTACGGCTCCAGTCTAAAGACACGCACCGACAGCGTGTTCGGAACGGCAAGACTGCCGCCCACACCTGACACCATGAGCACAGCATATGCTGCGTGTCCGAGCCGCTCCAATGGGAGCATTATTGCAGAAAAGAGCCAATATGATCAGGGTGTCGCCATGGGATTCCGGCTCCGGCGCCCGCGTTCCGTTGATGAATTAACAACCAAGAGAAGCTCGTGTCATAGTGTCGGTAGTGACAATCTTACAGCGAATGTCAGTGATGTTCCGGCGCCATCCCAGAGCACGGCCGGAGGGGACCTGACTCCGACTTTGCTTCCGTTGAATTGCATCACTTCTAGGGATGACCGGCTGTTTGACCGGGAATCCCTTGAAAAGGCCAACTTTGGCTACTACAGTGGCAATGCGCTGTACAACGAAGATAGCTTGGAAAGGGTCCTCTCCAAGATAGATAACAAACACTATCAAAGAAAGCCATCTAGGTCGATTGAGGAGCTTTCAGCCACACTAGCGTCTTCGCCGCCATTGACCCCTCAAGATTGGGTTGAAGCAGCCAAGCCTGCTCCTCAGGCAGAGAAAGAGCAGCCTGAGTTGACACATCTGGAGCCTGTTGCGTTGAATCCTCGTCTGTTCGTTGCACGCGCACCCAGCCAGGCTTCTTTTCTCGGCCGCAGACATAGTATCGACTCGGGCTTCAGAGAACCTGATATCCCCAACATTCCCACGCTTGACTTGCAGTCTCTAGAGCCCGGACCACCGCCGGAGCAAGACACGGAGCGTCGTAAGCGCATCAGTCTACGGCCCCTGTTTGGTCGCTCAGGAACCACTCGTCGCTTTCAGACGTCACCATTTGACGACCAAACGGATAGTGATGAGGGAGCCCCTGCGCCAGTCATACACAAAACGCGCAACAATGCCCCACCCAGGCCGTCTCGAGTCAATATACACTCAGAGGGCCCTCGTGACCTTTCCGCTTCCATGCCCACCTACGCCGACGGGATGGCGGACCAGGCTCGCCGGACTCTTCCTCATTCTTTCACTGACTCGTCCTTTACAACAAACCCCGCGCTCAAACCGTTGACCGCTAGCATCAAAGACCACAAGCGACGGAGTTCTCTTGGACTCTTCGGCTGGATGAAAGGCTCCGGCAAGAAGCCCGAGCCCCATTCACCCGCCAAGCATGCCATGCCCCCCAGTGGGATCTTGAAAGACAGACCCACGCGCATGGCCCAGGAATTTGGGGAGCGCAAGCCTCAAGAGTCTGCCGGGAATGCCAACGTGCCCACGGTGAGCTTTGCGCTGGAGACTAAATCCAGAGGTTCCGTTCGTTCCGACGAGGACGACCCAACACGACGGCCGCGATATATGGACCGAAAGTCTCGTCGAGGCTGAGGGCTTTTGCAAATCATGTCGAATCCGGCCTTAGTTTTCTTCTTTTTCTTCTTCATGTTTTGGATCCGTCGTTTCTTCTATCTGCTTCGACCTGATGATTTGAATGTCATGATACCCCCTTGAGTTACCTATGATGTTAGGGTTTTTACTGGTGTTGCGGACGATCCAAGGGCTTCTTACTCAATTCTTTATCACTTTCAAGACACTTCCCCTGACGCTGCCCTGTTCAATTCGCGATAAAAGGTATCTGGCTGGCACATGATATCCATTCACACATACAATTTATGCTCAGGCTTAACTCTGGTTTTACGTGACGAGACGCTCTTTTGTTTCCTCCCCAAACAGAAAAGACGATGATTATGTTTTTCCTTTTCTCTGTTTGATCCCACTCTGAATTGTCACTCTCTATTCGTCCTATTCCTAGTCACTCTTTCTTACTATGTTCATTCCTTTTTCTCTTCCATTGCTGGATTTACATTCGTTATCTTAGTTAGATCCCGTGCGATAATGATAATGATGAAAGCAAATGCATGATTTGATGGCTTCGGCTTGGTAGACGATTATATGATCGAGTGAGGATGTTAGTGCCTAGGGCTTAACATCATACTCCACGATCACCTAATTTAGATTCATACTCAGATGGAGTAGAAGATTTTACCTCTTCCTACTGCAGTATACCCATCACTCTCGGGACACATAATGTTAATGACGAATTAGTATTACGGAAAATGAAGCAAGAGGGAGGCTAGTCTCAAAACATGGTATCATAACTCGAATAATTACAAGCCCTGGGAACTATATGCTCGCTATTCTTGTCTTTCCTGACCATGGATGGCTATACAGCCAGTTCCAGGAGCTGAGTTCGCTATCTATAGAAACCAACCAAAGATGCTGAAGAATGTTACTGTGGGACGAAAGGCAGAGGGAGATCGAGAGAGAGAGAGAGAGAGACAAATCACTTCCCCTCGGCCCGCTCCACCAACCGATCCTCCAACCCAATGGGCTCCCACACCTCCTTGGCCTTCTTGTTCTGCACCCAGACGACATCGCCCTGCACGAAGGCGACCACGCCGCCTTTGCCCGTGGCGCTGGCCGTGATCCGGAACAGCGGCTGGCCGTTCTGCGGGTGCGCCTCGCGGAGCGGCAGCATGATGAGCCCCTGTTCCATGCACCATCCTTCCAGGATATCCTTGAAGGCGACCTCTTCGATGATCTTGGGTTTAGGTCGGGGTGCTGGGATGGTGGTGGTGGGTGTGGGTGTGGGTTTTGTGGTTGTCGCGGCCGGGGGTTGGCCGTGGGTTGTTGTCTTCTTTGGTTCGGCAGTGGCTGGAGGTGGGAGTTCGGCGGCGGCTCGGTCGCCCAGCTGGGAGGCGAGGTCCATGGTCTGGAGGGCCTTGTTCCACTCGTCGTCGACGATGGTCAGTTCGTTCAGGGAGGCGGGGATCTGCGTGCGCCACCAGGTGAACCACTCGGCGACTTCCTCGTAGTTGGGGTCGTTGGTGAGCCAGATGTAGAGGATCTGGTGGAATTTCGGGAAGAACTCGGCCGTCAAAAGCAAAGCCATGACGTTGGCCGGGAAGAAGGGCTGCCACAGGAGAACATGCTCCAACGCTGTGAGGTCCTGGTCCTGCGGATTGACCTGGAAGTCTTCGCGGAGGTGGCGCCCCAGGCGCGGGAGGAGGTGGTTGCGCAGGCACGAGTCGAATTCGGAGCCCAGGGCGTCCCGCCAGAGCTCGATCCCGCTGATCAACCCCTTGCCCAGGTCCCATGTGTCGAGTACGACTCGGAATTTGCGCTTCGCGTCGGAGAGCAGGCCCGTCGCATGGCGGGGGTTGGTGTGGCGGTCGTCGAGGTATTGGAGCCACGTGAAGAGCCACCAGGGGAATCGGGAGGATGAGGATGCGTGGTGGTGGTGTCGCCGGCTGCTGCTGCTGCTTCGAGGTTTCCATTCCTTGAGTCCGCTGGTGAGTTTGGGAACGATGAGTTGGTCGAGGACGTTGGAGTAGATGAAGGGTGGGAGGAGTTCTTTCCAGGCCACAATGAGGGATGTGGCGGGTGCGGGTTCGAAGACGTCCCAGTCGTTGAGGAGGGCGGAGCGCACGCGCGGCAGCCAGAGTGTGTAGATCATGGTTTCGTAGGGGGAGGTCGATGAGCGCTGGGTGTGTTCGCCCCGGATGTCGCGAAGGAGTAAGGGCTGGAGACGGCGGAAGTTGGCTACCAGGAACGTGGGCTCCTTGAGGGGTTCCCATTCCTCCATGGCTTGCCGGAAGAGAGGGTGAATCGCGGCCACTGCAGTCTCCGGTAATCGGTACTCGTTGATCTCGTTGCGGAATTTCATCTCTATCGACTCGAGCTTGTCGGTCAATTCATCGAACTTGGCCCGGGTTTCCTCCTTCTCGGAGACCTCCAGTGCTCCGATGGCCGCAACCAACTCGGTGAGCTGATCTGCCTTGAGCTGGTTTGTGTCCAACTGCTCCACGATCTGGGCTTCCTCCATTTCGATGTACTTCTTCCTCTCCGTCAGTCCTTTCCACTCGTCTGCGAAGGCCTCGAGGTCGTTGCGTGCCCGTTGTGCAATCTTCCAGGCCTCTCCCTCGCCTTGGTTGACGAACGCCTGCGGAGTCATCAGACCGGCGGTCGAGGTGATCACTCGCTGCTCCTTCCCAGTCGCATCGATCAATGACTTTAGCACATTAGGAACCTCCAGTCCCTCCATATCCTGCTCAATTTCGCGTGCGGTTCGGAATTTGGGCTTCGCTCGAGCAACGGGTGTACTCGTTCCGCTGCGGCCATCGCGTTTGCGCTCCTCTTTCTTCTTCCTTTGTCGCCTCTTGCGTTCTTCATCTGAGCTCTCCTCGACGGTTTCGCCGCGCAGTGTCGCCGCCCGTTTTTCCTCCTCTCGAGCTTGTTTAGTCTTCTCGCGGACAGCACCCAGACCCGCGCCCATGGGGCGAGCCTGCGCCTCGATCGGATTGATGATACCCTGTCCAGAAGAACCCAGACCTTGCCCCTCCTTGTAACCCATCTTGGCCATCATGCGCGCCGCGAAGGAGTTACCCCCCGCCATGCCTTTGTCTCCATTATTGCTCCCACCTTTCGCCGTAGCCTGCGCCGTGTTGTTCCAGGGGTTGCGCCGCCCGCTACCTAGCCCGCCGTGCGCGGGTGGTGATTCAGAGCGAGACGCTGCTCGGTTGAAACCGCGAAAGCCCATGGTAGGGCGGTAGTTCTCTTCTTCGTCGGAGCTCATGTCGGCAACTTTGCGTTTTTGGCCGGCAACGGGCGAAGATTCGGAGGAAGACATGACCGGGACCTGGAGGGAGTCGGTCGCAGTATGTAGACTAAATCTACTCTGAACTTGCGACCTAACCGATAAGGGTCGAAGTCATCACCGATGGAGACTATAAAGGAAGAGGCGATGAATGGCGACCTCTCGGCCAAGGTACAAGGTATGGGAGTGGCAGCAAGTGCCGGACCACTCCAGAATTGGTGGATCCCAAATCGGGCCAGGTCGGGGCGGGGAAATGCCTTCTCCGAAAGCAACAATGACGTTAGAGAACTTCTTCCGCCCTTCTCCTCACTGCGGGCTTCTCTTCTCTTCTCTTCTTTTTCTCTTTCTCTTCTCTTCTTCTTTCTTCAAACTGTTGTTCATTCCTCACTTCTCCTTTCAACTCACTTGTCTAATCCATAATCATCAATCATGGCTGCTTCTCTCGTCCGCAACACTGCCCGCTCTGCCCTCCGCAACGGAGCTTCGGCTACCAGAGCTGCCGGCAGCTTGACCTTTGCCCGCGGCAAGGCTACTTTGCCTGACTTGGCTTGTAAGGACTCCTTGGCCCTCGGATAGCCGAACTCGGTGAAAGAATGCAGCTTTCTAGCTTCTCTCCTCCGAAGGCAACAAAACCCAGCATGCGACGAAACTAACCCTCGACAGACGACTACGGTGCTCTGGAGCCCTCCATCTCCGGCAAGATCATGGAGCTCCACCACAAGAACCACCACCAGACCTACGTCAACAGCTACAACACTGCCATCGAGCAGCTCCAGGAGGCCCAGCACAAGGGCGACATCGCCGCCCAGATCGCCCTGAAGCCCTTGATCAACTTCCACGGTGGTGGTCACATCAACCACACCCTCTTCTGGGAGAACCTGGCTCCCAAGAGCGCTGGTGGTGGTGAGCCCCCTGCTGGTGCTCTGTCCAAGGCCATTGACGAGAGCTTCGGCAGCCTGGACGAGTTCAAGACCAAGATGAACGGTGCTCTCGCCGGTATCCAGGGTAGCGGCTGGGCCTGGCTCGTCAAGGACAAGCAGACCGGCAACATCGGCATTAAGACCTATGCTGTAAGTGTACACCTACTGGTTGTGGTCGGTGGAGGATACTGACTCGAGGACAGAACCAGGACGCCGTCGTCGGTCAGTTCCAGCCCCTGCTGGGTATTGATGCTTGGGAGCACGCCTACTAGTAAGTTGACTCGGACCACTTGCGGTTTCAAACACCTCGACTGATTCGTCTGCAGCCTCCAATACCAGAACCGCAAGGCTGAGTACTTCTCGGCCATCTGGGACGTCATCAACTGGAAGGCCGTGGAGAAGCGCTTCTCGGCGTAAGTGTAATGCAAGTAGTGATTGTATTCTAGCGCGGCTTGATGAGCGTTCTCACGATCTGTTTTGTATAACGTAATCTGGATACTCGGGACTTGTCAGGCTGTTTAATGTACGGTCCTAATGCACGAAATTATCTTAATCAGGTTCTTGTACTCACCTCGACGTAATTAAGCATACGGAGGGGGTCCAGGCCCGGCAGTGCGCGGAAGGCAGCGCCGCAGCTTCCGGGCCCGATCCGTCGATTTTCTAATCTTATCGCATCGACAGCCCGCTTTTGTCTCATCTCCAAACTTCCGTCCTGCATCTTCTGGCAACCTACTTTCCTTGCCTCTTTCTTCTTTCTACTCCCTGTCAATTACATTGACAATGTCAGCCGAGAGTCCCGGCGAGATGAAAAGTGGTATCCGGGCCTTCTTTGCCCACGCCCTCCGGCCCAAGAAATCCCGTCAAGTCCTCCGCAAGGGCTATAGCGCATCAACGCCGGACCTACGAGGGGCAGCCGGCCTGCACCGACCCAGCACCACGAGCGAAGATGTGCCGCCACTACCTTCCCTGGCGCCATTGGAGGCCCATCGGCTGAAATACCGGGAACTCAACGCCAACAAAGACTCCCAGCTCGGTGAAAACCGCGACCATACCGCCATCCTCCACACGATCGGCGACCAGGACTTCAACCGCCACGACCCTTATGGCGTCGAAGGCGAATATGACAACCGGCCCCCCGGGGAGCCACACATCGCCAGCCTACCCTCACAGCTCTGGGTACACCTCGCAACGAACTACCTCACGCCGGCCGACACGGCCAGCCTGGCCTTCTCCAGCAGAACCCTTCACCAACGCCTCGAGCCGCTGGACCCGTTCCACGCCCTCTCCCTTCCCTCCAACCACACCCAGCGCATCAACTTCCTGACCACCCAAGACCGGCACCTCCCCGACCACCTCCTCTGCATCCCCTGCGCCCGCTTCCACCGCCGCACGCACCCAGGCCACGAGAAGCTCCAACCCGCCGACACCCTGAACCCTCTCTTCACCTGCCCGGAAGCGCGCAACCCGCTCAACCCGCCGCCGCGGCACCGCATCACGCACAACCGCACCCTCCCCTACACCTTCGTGCAGCTTGCGATGCGGGCACACCGCTTCGGCCCGGAGTACGGGATCCCGTTCGCGGCGCTGTCACGCCGCTGGCGCCGCACGGAGTGGTCGCACCAGACGCGGTTCCAGGTGCACAACAACCACCTCCTGATGCGGGTGACGTCGACGCGGTTCGCGGACCCGGGCCTGCCGCCGTCGACGGTGCGGCTCCTCCTGTACTCGCGCGAGGACTACGTGCCCTACTTCTCCGTGTGCGCCCACTGGCGCGACGGCAACCTGATGGCCGCCTGCAAGTGCGCCCTCTCGCACATCCCCGTGCCGCGCGAGACCGCCGCCCTGCAGGGGCTCGAGCACCGTGCTAAGGACCTCCTGCACCGCCGTGTTCACAACCCCAACGCCCTCACCACCCTCTGCGGCAAGTGCCGCCCCATGCGCCGTTGCCCCGAGTGCCCCTCCGAGTACCTCATCGAGGTCAAGCTGACCGAGGACCGCTCCGAGGGCCCCGCCCACACCCTGCGCTTCCGGCATGCCATCGTCGTCACCCGCTGGTGTGATCTGGGCGATGGCTCGGCGCCCTCGCGCTCCCGCGAGTGGGCCGCCTGCTGTGGCGTCGACGGCTCCGCCGGGGATCATCAGGGGAAGACTCATCAGACTCCAAAGAGCATTCTGGCCGACGGGGGCCCAGCAGGGGAAGTGGTTGGTGGTGGTGGTAGTGGCGGCGGCGGTGATGATGGGGACAGCCCTGCAGCTGGCAACGAGGGCGGCACCACCACCACCACCACCAGCAGTAACAGAATCTACGACTCCTTCAAGGAGATAGGCAAGCGGTCCATCTCCGGGACCTTCGAGAGCATGATCACCGATGATACCCTTCCGGGCCAGCGGGTCATCTCGATGAACCCGTCCGGCAAGAAGTTGGGCGAGGAGGGGAATTCCTGGTATTGAAACCGTTTCCGTGCAGCCTCCCTCCTCTGTCCGGGGGTTTGTGGTGGTTGGCAGTCGGTTGGATTAGGCAGAGTGTTTTTTGGGACTGGGCGTCTGCGTATTATCGGACTCCGGGATAATGGAGTTGGGTGGGATTGTTTGGTTGGTTTGGAGTATTTGCATCATGTTGCCATTGCAATTGAAGGTTGCAATTTTTGTAGACTGTTCCTAGTCGGGGCGAAAATCCGATAGGCCCGGCCCTCAGAGAGATTGGATTTCACTGTCCGTATGTAGTGGAAGAGCCTAATTTAATTCAACTGCGATCGGCCTCGCAGTAGTTAGATGTCGTGCTAATGCAGGGTCTGGTCTCACTTTCATATCAGGGGCGATTATCTACACATGCCTATACGGCCCAAGGGAGGCCAATGAAACAATTTTCAGTGTCATCAAGACGTCATACCTATTAGAATCTATCTGAAATAAAGCTAAACAATGACATGAAGTATGTATAGATCAGTGGGAGGATTGGTGGTCATCATCAGATCCAAAAGAAAAAAGAGAACATAATTGTGATACACCAGCCATGTTGTGGTGCGTATGTGTGTGCGTCAGTCAAAGATGCCGGTATGGAAGATCGGGTATCCCCAGCGCAAAGTAGAAACCTCCCGCCATCAAGAGAACAAAAAATATTCTGAGAAGGTGTCCTTCTCCCCTCCCATTTTCCTCTTTAAATCCAGAACCCAGTGTAGCCCGTAAACCCCGGAGATAACATCAAACCAAAGATGAAAACAAAGAAAAACCGCTGAAACGCAAATCCACACCCAAAACGAATAATCACATATCATGGGGACGCTTTGGTCTGTATCGGGAAAATCGTGTGCTCAACAACGATGGCATATTCAGTGCTTGAGGGCTTGTTGTTCTTTTTGCTCGGATTCTTCTTCGCCTTCGTCGTTCTCCTCGTTCGTGTCCAGCCAACCGCGGGACATCTCGACCGCCTTGGTCCATTGTCGGTACATCTTCCGGCTGTGGGCGGGGGTGACGTGGGGCACGAAGGTGGTGCGGTTGGCACGGTCCATGTCCTTCAATTCGCTGAAGTCCTTCCAAACGTCGATGGCGAAGCCGGCGGCGATGGCGGCGCCCAGCGCCGTGGTTTCGTGCATTGCCGGTCGTTCGATGGGGATTTGAATGATATCGGCTTGGGTCTGGGGGGAAGAAGACATGTCAGTAATCGGATCCCGCGGGATAGAGAGAGCGAAGGATGCAACATACCTGCATGCAGATGTCGGAATTACTCATACCACCATCAACGGCCAACTCCGTCAATTTGTGTCCGCTGTCCAGTTCCATGGCATCCAAGATGGCCTTCGTTTGGAAACAGGCGGCCTCCATGGTCGCGCGGGCAATGTGCCCACGTTGAGTGTGCTGGGTGATACCAACTGAGAGACAGTTAGTAACGTGACGTCATAGTCATGAGAGAGAAAAAGAAGTTGAACATACAGATGGTACCCTTGGCATCGTCAATCCAGTAGGGAGCAAACAGACCACTGAAAGCAGTGACGAACACGCAACCACCGCTATCAGGCACACTCGCTGCCACCTCACTCACTTTGCGCGAATCACGGAAGAAACCCATGTTGTTCATCAGGAAGGAGATACCACTTCCGGCGACAGCGACACTACCTTCCAAAGCGTAGACTGGTTTCCGGTTCTTGCCCAATTGGAAGCCCACGGTGGCCAGCAAGCCGTGTTTCGAAATGACAGGCTTCTCTCCGACATTGTAGAGAAGGAAACATCCAGTACCATAAGTGTTCTTGGCCGAGCCTGGAGTAAAAGCACAGTGGCCGACCAGGGCGGAGGATTGGTCACCCAGACAGCTGGTGATGGGAACGCCGTCCAGCGGCCCCGACCGGACCCACCCGAACCCTTCGGGGTCGGACGAGGGGATAATCTTGGGGAGGCGGATCTTATTCCGATCCAGTTCGAAGAATTCCAGCAGGCGATCGTCATAGTCAAGGGTCTCGAGGTTCATGAACATGGTTCGCGAGGCATTGGAAACGTCGGTCACCAAGCGGCCACCTTCCGGACCACCGTTCAGGTTATACAAGAGCCATGTGTCGACCGTACCGAATGCAAGGCGGCCCTCATCGTAGGCCTTCTTCACTTCGGGCAGATTGCGGAGCATCCACATCAACGTTACGGAAGAGGGGTAGGTGGACAGCGGAAGACCGCAAATCTTCGACAAGTCCTCTGCGCCCTTCTTGGCCTTGAGTTCTCGCACCAAGCCAGTGGTGCGGGTATCCGGCCAGGCAATCGCGTTGTGCAGTGGCTCACCGGTCTCCCAGTCCCAGCAAAGTGCCGTCTCACGTTGACTGGTGATGCCGATCGCCTCGATCTCGTCCCGGGAGTGACCCAGAGCGAGGAAAGTCTTCATCGCTTCTTCGATACAGGTGTAGACCGAATCGACGAGTTCGAAAGGATCTTGTTCGTGCCATCTGTAGGGGTAAAATCGATCGGTTAGCCCGGCGGGGAACAGCCACATCAAAGCGGTGCAAGTGTATAGTGAAGTACTCACCCTGAGCGCTCGTGGATCTGACGGAATTCCATCTGGTATTTGGCCACGGGAACACCCGTGCAGTCGAAAATGATAAAGCGGGAACTCGTAGTACCCTGGTCGATAGCACCGATAAAGCGGTCCTTGAGGTTATCGCCGCGACGCTGCTCATTTTGCAACAGAGAGCGATTGCCATCATGCGACTGGTGAGTATGAAGGTCCGCATAACTCTGCTGGCGTTCTTGTTGTTCCTCGACGAGTGCGTCGAGGTCTGACATATCAAAGGGGTTCCTCATCTTGGACTTGCGAACCTTAGTTGGTAGTGGTTGTGGTGGTGCAGACGGTGCCGGTTTAGGAACGTCTCTAGTAATAGGAGTGGTGGTGATGGTGGCGGTGGCAGTCACGGTAGGAGATTGATGAGAATGAGGAGGAGGGGAACGATGAGGATGAGGATGAGGATGAGGCGGAGGCGGAGGATTGGTGGTAAATTGCCCGTCAGGTTTCCGAAAGTAGGAGAAAAGTGACCAGGTAGGCAAAGCCTGGAGAAGGGAGGAAGTGATTGGAGAAATGGTGGCGGTATTGAAAGTAGAATCGAGGGGAAAACAGGATTACGTCCCTAGTCCGCTTCTTAAGACAGACGAGGGGGAAAGGCCCAGTGGAGCTGGGCGGGGAGGGGGGGGAAAGTAGTGGTGAGTGAGAAAGCGTTAGGGCTGGAACTACGACAAGAAAGACCAGCCGGACTGTCCAGCAAGTGGCGGCTGTTGTACGGGTGAATTGCGCAGAGTCAGAGAAAGAGCGCAGCGGACGGATTGGTGACGTAGAAGTGATTTAGGGTGAAATCAGGTGGAATCAGGTGGGGAACCCGGAGCACAGGATCTGGAGAAGCAAAGGGAAAAAAATTGGAGGGAGAAGCAGCTGCGCAACCTGAGAGGGAGAGAGACTTGGTTGGGTTCGGGGAGAGACGGGGAAAGAGGGGTATGATATCACTCGTTATGGCGTAGGGTGGAGGAGGAGGAGGAGGATGAAAGCTGAGAAAACTGGGTGCGTTTTATAGGGGGTGTACGTGGCAAGGCGGATTTCTATCAAGTATGAGTAAGAGTCCAGTGGTTACTCCGTACTGTAGTCAAGTTGAGTCGTTCAGCGAAGACAAGGGAGAGTGAAAATCATAAGAAGAGAGGAGAGGGGAAAATAAATCTGGTCCAGAGACAGGAGCTGGAGAAGACTCTCTCTTTATCCAAGTAGGTGGAACCTTTTCAATTGATGTTAATTCAATTTCTTGATTTGTTTTTTTTTTTCTTCAAAATTTCCCAAATAAAACAATAAGTCAATTAAGTACATAGATAGTGGTAGGTAGTAGTAGTGGTAGTAAGTGGTGGTGGTGGTAGTAGTGGTAGTCGTAATAGTAGTAAGTAGTTCCCCCCCTGGCTGCTCTAGACTATCTACCGACTGCTGCACTGTCCTGTACAGACTAAGTACAGAGATCCTGTCTGCTGCATCCCGTTGGGAGCTTGTTCCGGGGAATCTTCCTGGAGTGCTGGGCCCATCGAGTCTTGTCCGGAGTCGGGAAGGAAGGGAAGACAGGCAGAAAGAGTCTGTTCCAGAGTCTAGTCCCGCGAGGACTCGGTCAGAATCTCGCTGGAGAGCAGATACTAGACCCCAAACTGGCAATCTGCTGAATCCCCGTTCGTTCCATCCGTGGCGGAGAAGTGGGGGCGTGGGGGAGACGAGGGCAATCCCTTCCTTCCAACTCTCTTCCTAAGTTCCTTCTGGCCCTTCATCTTTTTTTTTTCTTTTTTTTTTCTGATCAGACGACCATCTGTCCGTCGTCAGCATTGACATCCGCCCCTCTTTCCATCGAAAAAGGGTCGAACAAACTGTGCTTCTCTTGCCCCCGGCTTTCCTCCCTCCCCCCTTACACCCCCCATGGCAAAATGTTCCCCAGGTGCTGTGTGTGAAATCGGGAAGGTTTACCCCTGTCCATTCTTATCGCGAGTATATCAAGTTTAACCAGGTAGACGGTACGTACCTTCTGTCTAGACCACTGTTAACCTGAATTCACTGGCAGCCTAAACTACTGTAGCGTCACAGCTTGTCACAGTTCCGTTCAATCCGGTTTCCTTCAAATTGAGATGGCTTGAAATACGTCTGTTTAGTGCTGAGTTGTAAAGCCTCTGCATATACTAAGTATTTACCGACGGTTAGCCCGTATAACATCCTTTCCCCCATCGGCAAGATATCCGAGCTTCCCAGGCCGAGCTGGGACTTCCTCATTCTTGTTCTGGCGGGAGTAATAGCTGGACTACCGCATTGGGAGGCAGCCCATGGAAACATTGGAACAGAAATCTCTAAGAATAGTCATCAAACTTCCACATGACATCCCAGAAGACCCATCAAAATTCCATGGTTTTCTTTTCCCTCCACCCGCATAAATTAGCTGGCGTCTGTGCCTACCGTATCGGGGATCCCCTGCAAGAACCACCTGAAACTCCTCACAATCCATCAATGATCTATTCTTCCATGGAAACAAGCAATTCGCAATGAGATGGGGAGATACGAATGCCACCAGTCACGACTCTGATTGAGATGGACTAATTCTCGCGGAAAAATTGCCAGCGCAAGGACCAGGGCCTGGCGTGGAGGGATGGAAGCGATCGGTCACCGAAGGATGAACCAGACTAGTCATGCATCGCACATCCACATGCCTGCCTGACTTGACATCCAGATGTATGCCGTTGAGTATATACAATAGTACATCTGCACTACTGTGATACTATGTAGATCTACAACTGGCATTCTTGAGGCCCAATTGTCACCCACCGCACCCCTGAGCCTAGAGGAATGAGAGCCCCTTGACATCTCCATCAAAGAAAGGCGATGGCTGGGCTTTTCTGTTTTTGATACTGGCCCTTGTGAGACCGACGATTGAAGCACTATGGACTCGTTACGGTCCCAAAGAGGGGCTCTGCGGGTGTGTCCCTCCAGGACCGCCGTGGAAGACCTTCGGTTTGACTAGATTCCCGTCGATCGAGCACATGACAATGTCCAATTTTCTCCTACTAGTCAACTAGTCGATTTTCACGCACGCGTTGAACCAGGCCCAGGTTCTAGACCGGGGTCTTCTCTACCCCTGGCTCAAATTTTTTATGGTCACTTGAACGCCTCTGGGATGAGGATTATCTCCGAATTTCTTGGGATCCTTGTGCTATTTCCATTTCCGACCAACGACAAGAATTGATAGTCTTGTATTCGTAGACTGGCGCGGTATAAAGTAGCGCGACACTGCCGGCATATCCTGCAATAGAAGTACTTGTGGTTTACCCACATTGGATGAATGAATGAACACGCATTGAGAAAGCAACACGGCGTAGGTAGAACATGAGATGCTCTGACTCTCGGCCCTGACTAGGGCATATCCACCGGTACACTTCCCCTGACTTGTGTTCTTTAGCGTGTCACTCCGGAATCCATCTGGAGCCCATCCGGGCTGGATAACTATGAGTAGATGAAGACGAGCTCGTTCGGCCTTCTGATTTACGGAGAAATTGTTGCCAGCCGGGAGTCGGTTCGGCGTGGCTTAAGGGGGCGGCTAGCTGTCTTGGGGGAAGCCACGGCCGCCACGGGATCGAATTGTCCCGACCACTGCTTGCCCTCCGGAGTCGAGGTTTAGATTTCTTGATAAGCACTCAACTCTTCGGGTTTCGTGTATGTGCGTGTTTTAAACTACTTACTAGACTCCTTCAGTGTTCTATTGTTGATCCATGGGCTGTCCCTCCGATCCCTTCCATGTGCCCATGTGCCCATGTGCCCTTCTTCTCATCTGCCCTACAAGTTACAGTACACGCGGTGTTCTGCAGCAGCCTTTCCCTCATCCACAATGATGTATGTACTGTAGCTGGCTGGTTCCACGGGCCCAACCCAAAAACGGGCGGTGACGTCTTCGACCACATCTTTCACCAGCAACCACCTCAATGGATTGCACCCAACCCGATTCATGTAACAACCAGACACGACCTTGTGAAGTAAGAGAACCAACTGATTTGGCACCCTCACGAACGACACTTTCTCCATAGAGGTCACGGCAATTGATCGGCCCCCTTCTCCTCTCCCATCCTAGTCCCGAACAGGTATACGAACACCCGCCAGGGACCGTTGTGGCTCTCTCCGAGGGGAAGATCAACAGGTTCGAGGCGGGAATGATAGCATTCCGACTCGGTATGACCTCAACACTCGGACTGATCATTTAGTCAAGGCCTTTCCCCAAACGTGTGCCAAGCACAGGGTCTCCAATGATGCAAAGTGACTAGCCTATACTCATCGAACACAACCACAAGCATCAGCCTAATATGCCTGTGTACATAGAGAAGACGTGACTGACAGAGACGGCTGCATCGACATAGACTGCCCTACACCTATGGTATTTGATCTCTGGATTTGCCCACACCAAGATATCACGATTCCTGAGATTCACGTTCGGAAGCACTACCACCAATCAACATAATCAATCGTTCAATGTGCTACCACTCCATCTTCAACCCATCGCCGTGGTCACCTTTGTCGTCGAGCCCTCCCGTCGGTAAACCTGTTTCTTCCGAATTCGTCATTGGAGAGGGTCTGGATCTGCAAAACACAACCATGTGTACTCCGTAGAAAGAAACGAACTTATGAACTAATGTTGTTTGTCCTCTGGACAGCACACAGACAGACAGCATCAGCCTCTCTATCCAGGATGATTCAAGGCCACCGACGATCCTTTCTAGCCCCTCTGCGTAGAACCCTCCTCAACCTGCAGGTAGTTACTCTAATTCTTCTTCTGCTGGTGTTTGACAACGCACATGCTTTTTCTGGCCCATCAAACCCGCCGATAACGACATGCCCGCCCGGCTAACCTTCCCTTTTTCTTTTTTTCCTTTGTTGATGGCACCCCCCCCCCCCCAGCCCTCCGGACTTGGGATTCTTCACCCGCCATTCCACATCATCCTTCCCAAGATCCCTTGCCGGTGGCGGTCACAATCTGTGGTTGTTTCCCTTCCTTTTCTTGCTTTCGGCGGGCTTGGGCCCCACAAACCCTTTTTTCGGCCTTTAATTCTATTTATGCATATATGCATATGTGAGTACAGTATGAGTATGTTGTCACCTGACGAGGTGCTTGCTATACTGCGCCTATATACTTACTCAGTACATGCTCGTACTTCGGACATGTACTTTCGAAACTCTCCGCTTGGGATCTGCTGGGCATTGAAGCTCGGGGTCTCGATTAATAATCTGGGGGATTTGCTTGCTTCTTCTTCTTCTCCTT